CTCTTTTCTTTATCCTTTACCATATTGAATACCATTTCCTTCATTTTCTTAGTCAAATTTAACAGCAAGGTTTCATTAGAATCCTTTGGAGCTGATACTATTGAAAACTCTGTCATAATCAACTATTGCTGCTGATAAGAAAAGTATGGAGACTACGACATTACCATATTCAATGGTATAACTTACAACAAGGTGATATTAATTGTTTCTTCTATATTGGCACTTAAATTGGTACTTGTATCGAACATTCTGGGATAACTAACTACTACTCCATTCTATGCCGGGATTCGATAATCTCCTTGAACTGGAATCATAGTAGCTCTCATAGTTAAAAATTGATCATAATGGCATTTCTTCCAAACCTTGGTTCGATTAAGAGATGTAGTTATCATATTTGATTGAGACTCTTTTACAAACATTTTTAATTCAGGTGGATGTAATCAATTGATTAATATGGACAATACAAAAGCCTCCAACATTTGATGATTTAGCCACTTGCGGAGTATATCTGCCACACTGCCATAGTACAATTCCACTGCCTCTCTTGGACTAATTATGCTATTTATTAATCTTTCTTGAAGTCGATTCTCAAAACCAATTGGGCAAAAATGGATTAAAAATGCATTCTTCAATGCCTCCTAATTATAAAATTGATCCAAAGGTTGGTGGTTATACCATTCAAATGCTATATCTTTTAAGGTCATTGGCAGCCATCGTAATCAAATATCTTTAGTTATGCCATTATTGGCTATACATGCGATCAAGAACTAAGACAAGTATTGATCTGGATCTATACTTGGTAAGCTCGTAAAAGTAGATAATGGAGACATACTAGTTGTTTGATTGCCCCCGTCTTCTATTTGGACTGCTATTACAACTGCTAGATCATTCGTTGTTATTAAAGAGGATAATGTACTTCTTAATCTCTTATTAAAATAACCATTGCCTTTTCCAAATATCTTTTTCAAACTTTTCAACCTCTTCAATTTATTATTATTATTTTTGAATAAGTATATGAGTTGAACTAGAGGTAAAAACCATAAATTTTGAAATACGCTGAATTGGCCCTTATTGGCAAGCAATTTATGCCATTCTACGAAACTAATTTTGACAGAATCGGTAGTTTCTACTATTGTAAAAGTATCCAATGGAATATCCAATTTTTTTGTATTTCTTCTACTTGCAGTTAACGAGCTCAAGAGATATGCTGGGCTATTAATAAAATTTCTCACAAGTACTCTTGGCAATTTTTTTAATGATATATATGTCTAAAATATTAGAGGTCAGTCAGCTTCTAGGTATGCTCAGATTTGCCAACAGGCATACAACCATGGCTTAATTCAACTTTATTGATGCTTCTTTTTTAACTTACATTCTTGCTCATTTTGCAACAACTTTCTTACTTATACTCTCTCTTGTCTTTCTTTTGACTTGTGTAATTTCTTTACTACAATATTTTCATTCTTAATAACCATAATCTTTCATTAAATACTAATAAATTTACTTCCTATCTCTCATTTGACTACACATTTTTCTTCACTTTCGAATCAATTTTGATTTTATAACCTCTTCACGTAACATCCAAAATTACTCATTTGAGAGTTAATTCCTAATACTCAATACTATTGTCAATCCTCGATAGCGGCGCCAAAATGTGGTTGCCATTTTACTTATTCTATAAATTTCTTTCAGAATAAACCTATAGAGGGAGATTCGATCACAAGGAAAGACTAACCGCATGAGCTTATACATTAGGGTGACACAATTAACCATATTCTGAACCACTAAAAATACTAAAAAATACTATAATACTTTCTCCCACTAACAATATTCCTTCATCAACTCATAACAACAATGTACAATCTTGTACTTTTAAAAGACCATTCAAAACACCCAAATTCCATCCAACATTGGAAATAACAATCTTCCACTCTAACCAATCTTGCTTCACACAATTTCTGTAATCACAGACTTTTTTTGTCAAAATACACACAACTCTCAATTAACAACAATCATAATCTTCTATCTAGAATCAATCTTCTACAGAATCTGATAACAAATTTTCAATATCTTTTCATAATAATTTAATCACACAGTACTCCAATTACATACTCAATATCTCATAAATCAATCTCTAATTTATTCCATAGATTTACTTCACAATATTCAAAAACTATTTATTACTCTTCAACTATAAAAAAAACAAAGAGAATAAAGAGGTAGCACCAAGCTTACCCTGACTAATGACTATCACAATCTAGCTCCTCCAACATCTTCTTCAACTTACTTATGCTTTACTTCTGAAATTCAAGATTCTAACTGTTATTCCCTATTTAACCATTTTTACAACTAATTCAATCATTCGACCTATTGAATTGACAATTCTAAGATTAATTAATCTACTTTATTCATATCTTATAAAAAAAAATTCTACCCATTCTACAGGAGGGTAATCTGTAACCTCTAATAAAATTTTCTACAAAGAAGGATAATCCAATCTCCTTAAGAAAAAGATCAATATTAAAAAACAAGATTTTTTGTTTATAGGTAGGTAGTCAACAACCTTCAAAACACAATAATAGAAGTGAAATAATCCACTCACTTCTTAATCAAGACAAAAACAGTAAGTTGGCACTCTTGTCAAATTGTCACGGACATGAATCTTGAAGATAGAAAATCCTCAACACACTCTTATATCGCTGAAAAGAACTAAAAAGTCACTCAAAAATGATATAATATTGAACTAGAATGGCTATTGCTAAAAACAAGAAGACTAGAAAGTCTTGAAACAAGACTAAGGACCAAAAAGGTGTTGACAAGAATGAAGAAGCCTTCACTCTTGCCTCCATATATACTCTTAACTAAGAACTATGTGGCAATGTCCTATAAGATCTCCAAAACGTATTGACTTTGTTAGCCACATGTCTTAACTTACAAGACAAGTTATCTATGTATGTGATATATAGTTAGCTTGTTCTATAAGCTACTACATGGAGTTAACTTATTCCACAAGCTACCATCATGTGGTTAACTTATTGGCCAAGTTTCCATCTTACAAGTACATCTAAAGTCAAAATTGTATCTACAAAGCTTCTAGGAAGCTGATCTAGAAGACTTTATGAAATTAATCTATACTTACATATTTCTACCTAATCATGTAAGTAACTATTGGGATAAATGTATATATCTATGACATGATGTTATTATATGTATGTAAATTTGAAATAAAATCAAAATTATAAATTAATATTTTTTTAATGTTAATAATTATCAAAATACTAAAAATTTAATAAATTAATAAATTTTTAGATTTTTTTCTTCTTGTTAAAAGCCATATTTTAGATAATTTATCTTTATTGATTTATTCTTTTTTACATAATCATAAAAAGGTTTTATTTTATTTTTTATCTTTGAAATACATATTTATAAAATTACTCTATAAGAAAAAAAATATTAAAATATATTTCAGAATCAAGGCATAAAATTTGCATCTAAAAGCATGATTTCAATTTTTTTGGAATAAAAATATGCAAAGAAGAGTTGATTTTATTATTTTAATCCTTAAACTTTACTAGATAATTTTTGTAAACATATAAGGTAAAATTTTGGCTACTTTAAATATTAAAATTAATATAAAAATATAATCTTAGTATTATATTTTAAAAAGTAGTTTATTGTAAAGAATTAAGAGTAGAGAGTAAATTAAAATATCATTTAAATTTAGCACATTGTGATTTTTAATCTGTTTATTTATTATTAAAAATCAAGTGAGTATTTAGAAATTATGGGCAATAGCATGAAGTCTATTAAAGATATCATAACATGGTCTTCAAAGTAAATATTAGGAATTATAAATAAATGATATTTAATTTTGTTATATAAATTATTAGTTTGATATTTTGAAAAAATTCAAATTTACAAATATAACTACAAATTTTTTTCTATAGTATTTTCAGAAATTGAGAGCTACTTAATAGAAGAAATGTATTTTTGTAATTATTTTAAATATTTTTAATCATTTACATAAAAAATTATAAAACTTACAAATTTTTATAGGATGATTTTAGAACTTGATGAATAATTATTTTGAAGTAATCAATAACATGTAATGCAAATTCAAATTGCTATTTTTATAATAATAAGATAAAAAAATAAATAAAAAATAAGATTTTAAAGTGACAGTCTTTCATATAATAGTAGGTATATGTAAAAAAAATTTCAAAAATTGATCAAGTTAATTGATGAACTTTTAAGATTTAATTTTTTTAGAATGCATAAATACTTTTTAGCACATATAATATTTTTATGTACAAACTATAGTGTAAATATTTAATTAATTAATCATTTATTTATTTAAATATCACTTTAAATATTTTAGTTACTTTTCTTTCAAATAAGCATTTTAAAGTAACTAATGTATATAGATTCTAGAATACAACCTTATTCATAATTTAAAAAAAGAAAGTAATTATTAAATTTTCCTAATTCAAAGAATATATAAAAACTGAGGTCGTAAATAAATAAATAACTAAATAAGCTATTAATAAAAATTATAATTATAGAATTAAAAAAATTAGAAAATATAATGTATTTGAGTAATGTAATAGTTTATTATCCATCTATTTCTCTACTCTGAGACATGTAAAGAAAATAAGATATGCAACTCTCACCTGGAACGAACGAGTGAGGAGTGCAACCTAAAACTTATTCATCACTTAGCGGGATTCGATCTCATGTCGCACATACCCCATCCCCTGAGACTTAAATACTCCAAAAAACTACCTAGCGCAACACCGAACAAAAGTTATGGCCTGTAGATAATGAAGAAATAAAGAGAAAAAGGCAAGAGAGGGAGGGAAGGAAGAAGGGTGACGTGACAACTAGCCCACAGAATGCGCATGAGCATCGTGGTGGTGGGGAGATCCGTCCGTCGTAGTGAATTCATCCACACCCAACCAAGAAGCCAAGCCGAGCAAAGCAAAGCAGGGAAGCAAGTAAGTAAGCAGGGCAGGGAAGGGTTAAGCAGATGCTCTCGGGCATTGTCCCATTCTGCGTCTCTTCTAACTCCTGCGTAGACCTAAGCCAGCAGCAGCCATGCCATGCCAGCCTTGCTGCTAGCATCCGCATCTGGAACGTGTCTCGTCGTCACTGCTGCTGCTGCTGTTCGGACGAAGGGGCGGGCCTCCTCCTCCTTCTCTTCCCCCTCCTCGCACTAGCTCGCTTGCCGCTCTTGCATCTCGGCTGCTGTTGCATTGCGGGACGTCGGTTCGCTGCACTTCTAGGGAGAATTGGAGGTGAGAAGGTGCGGGGGTGCCATCTAGGACGGCAGCCATGGCAATGATCGGGCGCGTCGTTGGCCGTGCTGTGCCCAGCGCCCTCTTCCGCCGAGGTGGCCTTGATTGGACTCGCAGCTTTGGATCCTCGGGGGATGACTCCACACCTGAAGCGCCCTCCCCCATTCCGCAGCACTTTGGCCCTGGGAAACTTGTGGGGAAAACTGCTCTCATTACAGGCATGTTGTGCATTCACTGATTGTTGCTCTGTTGCTGGCTTTTGTTCCGATCGAAAGGAAGACTAGGATTTAGGACCAACCTTGTCACAGCTTTTGGGGCTGCGATTTGAGAGCGTTGTGGTTTGGCGGGTATTGCTGTTTATGTTTGAATTGATGTTCTAGAGGTACGGTTTGACAGCTGGGTAATGGAAGGTGGCGTGCTAGCCCTACCGGTTTTGGGGTTGTGCGCGCGGTCGTCTTCACGCGTTGACTGTGCAATCGGAATTGCTTCGTGTGGAAATTGTACCGAATTGCGTATGTTTTTTACATAGTGTTATTGCGTTTGATTTTGGAAGTGCGAGTGCAGTTTCAAATGCATTGATGCTGCTTAACTGTAGTATCCGTTGGAATTGGTTTTACCCACTTTTTGGAGGATCTCTTATGTTTACCGTGTTTGGATTTCGTGTGCCTTGGAAGCATGTATGCGCAGTGTTTTAGAGCCCATCGGAATAGGTGTATACTGCATACTGACTTTACACTAGCACTAGTTTAGATAAGATTGAATATTTTTTGCACACTAATATGCCTGTGGTTCAGTTGATGAACGTCTTCCTTATCGATAATTCTTGACCTGACGCTGTAGGTGGTTTTTTGTTTCTGCAAATTCTGTGCTCAGTATTAACATGTAGAGATATGTGAACAAGACAGGAGATGAATTGATTTTATCGGAAGCGTATGTAAAAAAACGTCTGAAATGACACAGGGCAGTGGTACAACACATATAATCCCTACTGTTGTGTAAATCACTAACTTCAAACCATATGGATACAGGAGCGGGAAGTGGAATTGGACGACATGCCGCGCTTTTGTTCGCACAGGAAGGAGCTTCTGTCGTTGTGGCTGATCGTAACCTGGCAGCTGCTTGCCGCACTGTTGATGCTATGCATGAGCTCAATGGTCAAGGTGTTGCAGTAGGCGGTGATGTTTCCGTCGCTGATGATGTAGCAGCAATGGTTGCTAAAGCAGAGAAGGTATATACAACGTCTTCTCGATTAGTATTCCTGACTTTACTCAGCAGTGACCAATCACTTCCACTAAACGAGTGCTATCAATTGTGCCTTTAATGTCTGTATAATTAATATCCTAATGCATAACAGAAGAGTACTTTTGCCCCGAAGACAATTGAAGACTCCTTCTGTCTCTCGGTGGAATCCTTTTGTCCTCCCGAAGTTAGTCTGCAAATCCAATTTGACTTGGTGCAAGCACATTGGTTAATACATTCAAGTATCTTGCAGGTTTATGGCGGCCTCCACATCATCTTCAATAATGCCGGTATTATGGATTCAGGGGATGACAATGTCATCAACACACCTGATGATGTCATAGACCGGACTTTGGCAATTAATGTCAAGGGAGTGATTTATGGATGCAGGTAATGAGCACGTCTCTAGAGAGCCCATTGAAGCCTTACTTTTGCTGGTTGCCTTAAAATGATCAGTTCTTGCAAGTTTAAAAGTTGTCCAAGTTTTCAATCAGTATCTGCTAGTCCCATATGACGTGGGATCATAAGAAATGTCAAGCTTACGATTAAACTACTAAGAAGTCTTAGAGTTACTCTAAAATTATTGGATGCATACTATTGCGTTGTAGGTACGGCATCCCCGCAATTATCAGATCTGGGGGAGGTTCAGTGATAAATACAGCATCTTTTGTAGCATTTTTGGGGGCAGCAACCCCTCAAATTGCATATACAGCAAGTAAAGGAGCGGTACTCGCTCTCACACGTGAACTGGCTGTAATACATGCGAGAGAAGGAGTACGAGTCAATTCTCTTTGTCCAGGCCCCTTGAGAACAGAGCTTTTGATGAAGTTTTTGGATACCGAAGATAAAAAACAGAGGCGACTTGTTCATATTCCCATGGGTCGCTTCGGAGAGGCATCAGAGATGGCTAAGGCAGCGCTCTTCCTAGCATCTGGTGATAGCTCATATATGACCGGCGCAAGCCTGCTTGTGGATGGTGGGATAACATCTGCGTATGTGACACCTGAATGAGGCGACTATGAAGTAATTCTGAAAAGTACAAACATCCAAGACTTCAGCTTACATTTTCGAGGCGAGTGTAAGAAACTCTACAAATGCTCGACTAGTCGCTGGTACTGTCAGTCGTTTTTCAATTGCAATATCGTACCTAATGCAATGTAGAATGCATTCGGACTGAAGTTCACTACGTTCAACCAGCAGTAGCAAAATCAGGGGACCGAAAGCGTGACGAGAGAAAAAAAATAAAAATATGAAGTCTGTAGTGCCTCTTGTGTGATATCCGTGAGGTTTATGATGAAAGTCTACTAACATTAGCTCTTTAGAGTTGACACACTGCGTCGGGGAGGGGCATTTGAATAAGTGAGCGAAGGCTAGAAAGCTCTGCCCACTTCGATGTGATTGGCGTTAGTCCAATGGTTTCATGGAACAGCATTCAGCTATAGGCGTTAGAAAATCAAAATTCCTTTGTTTGAAGATGCTCTTTCAAACGTGATGAGTTTCAACTTGGCCTTTTTGGTAACAAGTGATACAAATTACGACGGAAGGGTTCTTATACACAACCACATCCACTTGGTGTTATTGACCATAGATAGAAATTTACTTTTTCAGATTCATCTTCATGGCACCTTCACGCCTTCTTCACTTATCCCACCAATATATTGTTGGGTCTAGGACCTCATGTTTTCGCAGATGGGACATGTTCAGTAGACCTAAACAATGCCCATAAAAATAACCGTGCCATAATTTCCCTCATAACACCTTTCTCAAAATTAGTGGTTGCTGCTGAAATTGGAGAGATGACGATCTTATACCTCCCAGCCTTGTCACTCAATGTAACAGCTGCTGAAATCGAAATTGAAATGGTGGTGCGGCACCCACCATCGCCCTCTCTCATCCTGCGTGGCACCTATCTTCGTCTTCTTCTTGCTGCCAACCAGTGGCATGATCTCTTCGTTGATCTCAACCAGAAACACCAACCCCTGCAAGCTCTTCCGCCGATCAATCAATTTCTGTACTACGTAATGCTTGCGAGCATCCTGGGATGGTGTTGCCTGTTGTTCCTGCTGCTTGTCCACTACCGCACTTGGCGGGCTCGACCTCGTCCCAGCTTCCGCAACCTTCCGAATTTGCGCGTGGGTAGCAAACAGCGATTGTCCCGCTGATCCTCGTCTCGCTGCCCCTTCTCTCTCACGAAAGGAACCTGGTCTCTTCACTCCAGCTGATTCAACGTCCGCAGATTTAGGAAGCTCCCCCTCCTCAACCCCGTTGGTGGGTGCTTTCGTTAAGCACTTCCTAAACTTGTCTGTGCAAGGCAACAAAGGGCTATTTGCTCGTCGATCTCGCTTTCCTTCTGCACGGAACTTTCCTCCAGGAGATGCTCCAAATTTGGGTGTGGCTGCAGGAGCTTGGGCAGGGGAGACCCTTTCAATGTCGTTAGAACGAAAAACGTGGATTAAGACCTTGTACTCAAACATGTCAGTTTTCTCCAGCACACAGACATCGCCTGCTTGAATGTTGTGCGTCTCTACGAAGTCCTTCCACCCCTGACCGTATAGATATCGTAGTCCAGGTCTCCAGTCAACTTTGCGCATCACGCCATCAGTGTCCATCAAGATCAACTCTGCGGGCACCGTCGGAAGTATTTCTGCACATTCAACTGAGACGAACTGCACCCCACGTAATGATGAGTCAACCGACATTTACCATTGAATTTGAGCAAGGCAGCGCAAGGCAGTAAATGGTCAAAGTGCCACAATACCGTCTGCAATCTAGGGCTATCTATAATTCACAACGCAGAACGTCAGCGTAGTATGGATAAAAGACATGCAATACATACACAAGTGTACGTGTTCTTGGAAGCTCTGGTTCTCATCAGTAGAAGAGCGCTTGGATTTTTAGTGTTGACCGAAAAAGCTTTCGCTACTTCATATGCCTGCTTTTGGGACTCTCTTAGTTTATTGTCTCCCGCGAGGGAACTTGGAGCGTTTGAATTTGGACTTATGGCATCTGGAGGCTCTTGGTCTTCCGACGTCATGTAGTCACGTTTGAGGTTCCTGTACTCTCGAGTTCTGGGGCCTACTAGCGTAACAGCTCCAAATCTGTGGTTTGCTGCGACAGTAGCAAAACCACAATTTGCAGATTTTTCGTTGTCATGAGAATGAGCCCGGGCAGCTGCCATTGCAGACCCCAGATTATTCCCAAGGCTTAAGCTAGGTTCCTGTTTTACCAAAGCTGGTTGAAAAACAGAAATGGGTTGATCTCTACCTCCTGGCTCACTCCGAAGTACCCCTACTTGTCTTATCTCTACTCTCCTCCTCATAGGATCATCCTCAATTTCAACTCTAGCTGTTTTCGTCTGCGTTCTAACCTCAGTTTGTCTGTGGTCTGGAAGAGAAATCTCCTTAACTACCCCTAGTTGGTCAGTAATCTCATTCTGATTCTGGGGTTCGTATCTCCTATGACAGACATCAACTTGGGAAACTTCAACATCATGGTCATTATTCCCATTCATCGAGACTTTAGGATCCTCACGAGACTTAACAGCGCCAGTGTCATAATGTGATGCAGCGAAGTCGTTCTTTAGGCTGTCAATCAAATCACCACTGCTCAGTCCCGCTGAACCGCTACTTGCCATACCCACATTCCTACTCTTAAGATTCATTGCCCTTATTTTATCTTCAAAGATTTTAGAGACTTCATTCCTGAAAATGCGTTCAGAGTAGGTAGCCTCTGTTCTCGTTTCGACAGGAGAAGTACCAGCAAAGGCCATTTTTCTCTTCTTCAACCTTCTCTGTTTCGCCTTAGCTAAAATAGCCTTAGCCAAAAGCACTTGCACCGAGTCTTCTGATTCCTCGGACGACATGTTCATTACAGAGGTTTTCGCCTCGTCACGGTCCTACGCAAAAATGACACACTCAAGGCTAACACCCTCAACTTCAATACGAGCAGAATCAAATGAACTAATGTTCAACCTGGCAGTTGAACATCACACGAGATGAAAAGAATGCTTCACAACACCGAGAGTTTCTAGGCCCTTACCACTTGTTCGTGAAGAAGATTCCATTCAAAAGATCCCCTGCTCCGCAAGATCCCCTTCGTTACCTTGTTCTCGTTTTGATCAGAGGCCTCAGCTGGCAGAACTGAACAGAAACTGTTGGACTCTGGCATCTGAGAGTCATGTTGAGGAGAACCATTTAGTTTCTCTCTGCGATTCGTTGCTTTGGAATGTACCAAGTTCAAGGGTGGATCTTCTGCAACTCCTCTCATGGGCTTTGAAACTAGAGGCAACAGTTCAGTTTCCTTATCAATCACAGTACCCGTTGAGCTCCTTCGATTCAAAGGTTGTCTTGTGCTTACTTTCTCTAAGCCGAACTTATTAAACACATTCACAGAAAATCGCTTCATGGCAAGGAGGCCAAGCATAATTTGATCTCCCTTCTCCAACTGATAATCAATTGCAAATGCCTTCCAGCCATCTCTCAGTGCTGCACTGCTGAAAGTTACAACCCATTCAAACCCTGTAACGTCCTCCAAGATGTAGGTCTCGTTCGAGTACATGCCTATGTACTCTCTGATATACACAGCAGGAATTTTCTGCACAATCCCAAATGAATTGAAACAATTCTTCAGATCTATCACAGAAATCGATAAGGCACAATGTTTTAAGATCTACCTTCTCAGAGAACGAAGAAGCTGAAAGCAGCCACTGAAATCTCTACAAAAGATACACACAACAGAACAGCGGCAGAGGAACACACCAGGTTACAGTTCTTATTAGACGGCGTTGAATATTCGGGAATTGTCTTTAAGAACCTCGGGACTATTAGAGGGAGTCCTGTCCCGTGAGTGGTCTGACACACACGAATGCATGCTGCGCAAACCTTGTGTTCTCCGCCGCTCCCCCCACCCTCTCCCATTACACTTCAATCTAAGGTCACACCCTCTTACTTCGATATCACTTCCAACACTTTCAAAGCTGCTATCTTGAACGCATACAGAGAATCCAAGCAAGTACAAAAATTAAAATCAAAATTAACTGATCTAAATAGAGTCAAGCGAATTACTTGGAGATCTCACTCTCGATGATCAGAAAAAAACGAGCGGGCAAAGAAGCTACAATGCCCCATGGCAACCCATTAATCTCCTAATTCTGTTCTTCCCCTTATGTCCAGTCCCACGAGCCCAAACGTCACCAATATACTTGCCATGCAATCAAAGGATTCTTCGTCGTCTTCTTCTTCTTCTTCTTCTTCACATCCCCATTCCTGTATCACCACTCCCGACATCAAACGCACACATGACCCAGGAGCTGCTCCGCGTGCAATGCTGTGAGATGCACGAGCTCAGGCAGAGTCGCCATGCGGAGCCTTGAAACCCTTGAAAGCTTGGAAACTTTCAGCACTGGGCTCTCAATGCAACAGGGGGGTGGCTATGTACAACCCAACCCAGCACAACACAACACAACCCAACCCCATGGGTTTGTTAACTATACTTCTCTGGCTATGTACATGTGATAACTGGTTCTGTTCATAACAACACTCCATGTCATCTCTATGTCTCTACCTATACGTCGCCTTTGATTGTAATTGTAATGCATGTAAAAAAAAAGTTTGAAATTATTTTTAAGCTTATAGTTAAGTTTGAAATTATATTTTATTCAACTTATTAAAATAAAAATAAAAATAAAAATAAAAATCTCATAAACTTAATTCCTATGTTGAGAGCATTTTGTTGACGAATAATTTCAAATTTAATTCATTTTTCTTCTAGCAAACATTTCAAAAGGTTTTATCATTTCTATTATAATCAATTTTCACATTTTTTTTAGAAAAAAGTAACATAATTACAAGTACTTTTTCAATTCATAAAGTTTAGATTTTATTTAATCTTATTATATTACATTTACAACTATAAATAATTATTACACAGATTTGGGCCAGTTTGGAATGAATATATCTACCCAGTATTTTTATTTTTAAAACATGTGATTTTATAACAAAAAAAAAATGATGGGTTTCATGTAAAAGTTCTATATATACAAACACATGCATTTAGCATCTTTGCATTTGCAACCTTCTAGTTTAAACCTTCTAGTTTAATTATTAACCTAGATGCTTTGCACAAAGAGATCAAGATATTTTGGAAAGCAATATTGCATAATAATCCCTTCAAGCCACTGAAATCTGAGTCGCTAACCCCAGCGACGGACACCTGTCCAAAAGTCATTCATTCATCCACTTATTCACTCAATCATCCTCCAATTCATTCATTCATCCATTCATTCGTTAATCCGTGCTGGACGCGCTGCTGGATGACCGTAATTTCCAGGTTATTATATCATTGTGAGATGACTGATCAATGCACAGAAACGGCGGGTAACTAATCTTCAGCAAGAGCTTGCCTGTCTAAGTCTGTGGTAACTCTGACGGGTAACTTCTGCAGCCTCGCATCCGCCCTAGTGCCAGTGTAAATGCTACACCGGTTGGTAATTGGTGTGGCTTAGGGTGTCGTTGAGGCTTAGTATCCCTCGGTTACTTTTTCTTCATCTCCCTTTGCCTTTTTCCACTTTCTGCAACTTTCTACTCTAAAGAAATCGTTGTTTGGAGTACATTGTTTAAATTGAGTATACATTGACGTTCAATTTGTGGAGATATCCATCATGCAACATTATTTTATATGTGTTGATACTTTAAGTCTTTGCCATGATGAGGTGTTCAAATTTTATTATTATTGTAGCCCTTTGTAAATACTTAATATTAATTGAGGATAAAAAAATTATAACATTATTTAAAAAAAAAAGATCGATTTATTGAATTTTAATTCTGTAATTATTTATATAAGGTATATCTATATATATATGTAATTGTAGAATTATAAATTAAAAACCAAAAATCGAAGTGTTGCATCAAATAAGTTTGAATTATTTTTTAGTTTATAATTATTGAATCTAGCATATTTATTATTTTACTACATATTAAAAAATTGTTAGAACATAGTTACAATAATTAATTGAATTATTTAATGATTGTAGTATACGTACATATCTATGTCAGTCAAATAATAGCACCTGAAACAACTAAAATTCTGTTTTTGTTACTATTATAAATTCAAATCAATTATTTAACCAATATGATTTATCTTCAGTTTAGGGAAAAAAATGCATTGGTAAAATTAGAGTAAAATATACAATTATACTATTGATAAATTTTAATGAATTCTTATTCTTCCTCTTAATCTGCTTCTTAATTTATATGTCATATATTATTTTATAAAATATTTATATATTTATTTTTAGATATTTAAATTTATTTAAATGATAATTAATAAAATGTTTCATCCATAAATAGATCCTTTTAATATATAAAAATTCACATAATATATAGTATTTGCTCTTAAATAATAAAAAATGTCTTATTTTAATAAAATATTTTTTATAACTTGTAATTCTTGTAGAGATTATGTTTGGTGGTTATACATGCATTTTTTGAATTTTTGTATACTATTAAACAGGAATTGTGATGAATGGATCTTAAGCACATTTTATTTATTTATTTATTTATTTATTTATTATTATTATTATTAAACTTTGTATTTGGAGCTATTTAGCCTTTGAGTTATTTTCCAAAATGAAGTCATCTTGATTGTAGAATTATGTACTTTTTTTTTTTGCAAATCATTTGGTTGAAAAAGAAAAAAAAATTGATAGAGGACATGTGCACAAACAAAAGAAAAAAATCAATTTTTTGTAACAACCAAAATCATTTTGTTTGGATAACATTTGTAAGCACATGTTAGAGAAGTACCTTCTAAATTTCTAAAAATACAACTATGTTCAATGGCAAAAAAAGAATCATTAGATGCTTTTTAAACATTCATTTAAGAAAATATAATGAATGCTTATTTTAAACAACAAAGTGTTGATGACAATAGAATGCATTGCTTAATAATTTTAAAATTAATTATTGAAGTGATTGTTTAAAATATAATGTTCAGTGATAAAAAAGTGATTCTTAAAGATATTAGAATGAAAGCAGATATTTTCATTTAATATAAGATGATTGTTAAGAATACAATTCAATTTGACTATGTTATTTCCTTTTTGATGTATGATCTATTATTTTAATAGATTTTTTATATGATCAAAGAAAATTGTGATTTTTTTAGCATTATTGATAAAATATAATATTTTTCTTCTAAAAAAGCCTAAAATACTTCTTTTATTCTTTGTTCAACATTATTATAGCACAACTTTGATATTATGAATACATGTTAATTTTTTTTTATTGGAGCTGATATTTCTATTATTAATTTTGAGAACCAAAATTTGATTTTTTTTAATAATAGACAAGAATCAGTAATAATCATTCCACTTATTGACAATTTTTCTTTTTGATAAATCATAAAGTTGCCCATCATTATTCAATATAAGAGTGAAGTTTTTTAATACAATGTGCTTTAATTAAAAAATTAAAATAATTAAATTATGAAGTAATAGAGCACAAAATATGATTAGATATATTTAAGAAATTTATAAGAAGAATTGAAGTTGTAGCAACATCTAATGTAATTAATTGAATTTGGTATAAAATACGCTAATTTGATCTTATTGTATAAGTTAGCTATGTGGTGTACATATAGGAAACTTATCTTGTAAGTTAGACATGCTGAAATAGGACCAGTCTATCTCAAAAATCCAAGATCCTTCGAAATTATAGTAACATAAAGTCTCATCACAAAGTATGACAAAATAGATTAGAACAAAATTAAATAGAATTAATTAGAATAAGATATAAAAGATAAAATTGAATAAAAAAAAATAGAATTGAATAGACATGAATAAAAGGATGTAAAACAAAATTTTACTAAGAGAAAAAGTCCGAAGCTATACTTGACGAGATGCTCCAAAAGACCTTATCCAGTCCTATTTATACTTTGTTCTACCACCTTGAACCTTCTAGAATGTTCCTAGATGATAGACTCCACTTAGATAACTACCTTAAATTTTTTTTAGAAGGTTCTATGGTTGGCCCTACCTAGGTAACCATTCTAAGCCTTTTTTAGACTATTCTATAGTGGGCCTTGCCTAGATAACTGCCCTAAATTCTTTTTAGAATGTTCCACAGTAGATCCTATTTGGTCTACTAATCTTATCTCAATTCTAAAAACTTCTATGGTTCTAACTATCTATTCCTATATGTCAATAATATAAATACATTATCTATATCCTATTAGAGTTAATCTCCCTTCATTAATGTGGAAAATCCTTATTTCACTTTCAATGGAATCTCTGAATTCTCTCTTAGCAATGGGTGAGGTTTTGTGCAAGTTTTCACGTTGCATCATAGATAGAATAACCTTTCCAAAGAACTTTGTATTGAAGTTGTGGATGTCTACTACACGTTTGAAGGTAGAGATGGTCCAAAATATTGTCCATTTTATATTCTTGTTGATCATCAATTAAAATTAGAAACGGTGGTGGTTATTGTCAATCCAAAAATACTTTGGCTTTGTATGAAATTCTTTTAGTTATGAAACATAAAAGATTAGATGGATCCAAATATGTTGTGGAAGCTCGAGGCAGTATACAACATCAAAAATCATTGCAAAAATGCAAAAAGGTCCAAGCTACTGAGGTATTAGTTTATGGATTTGAATTAATGTAGCAAGTGGCAAGTTGGTATTGAAGAGTAATACTTGATCATCCTCATGAAAGGTCTTGTATTGGCGGTGGTTATCCGCATACTGCTTTGGTTGATTTTGTGTCGTAAAGAGGCAGTGCCATGCTTCTTATAAGGCCATTATAAGCTATTGTATGAATTCTTCTATTGTTGAGTTGTTAGTGTCAATGGGATGATAAAGAATTATTGACATAATCAGATGTTGATTGGTGTTAAGAAAAAATGGTAAATGATTGATACTTACTTGAATACTATTATTATAAGCAAATTCTAGGGATGTGGAATATTCATTCCAATCATTATAATGAACCACCACAAATACATACACCATGTCTTCCATATTCTGATTTGTACACTCTGTTTGTCCATCTGTTTGGAGATGGAAGGCTGTAGACATAGCAAATCGTGTGCCTAATAGCTTAAAGAAGGCTTGCCAAAAACTTCTCATGAAGCGTGGATCCCAATTTGAAATGATGACACAAAGTAATCCATGGTGACGAAATCAATATCAAAAAAGACTTATGCAAGTGTTGAGGCATCAATATTTGAGTGTATCACAAACAAGTGAAGTTGCTTCAAAAGTTGATCTACAAAGATAGCAACTGCAGTATGAATATGAGGCATTTGTAGCAAATACATAATGAGATCTATAGTCACTTGCTCCCAACGTGCTATAGATAGTGGAATTGGCTGCAATAATTTAGGAAATATTATATTGTATGCTTTATTACATTGACACGACTTGTAAGAGCGTACAAATGCTCAAACATCATGATCCAAAATTACCCA